AGATAAAAGCTGAGGTGTTTAGATTTTTTTTGATACAAAATTCAGCACTCCAAATTTTAAAATGGCGGACTGAAGGGTGTTTTCTAGACAAAACACCTTATATCCACAGCGTCGTGTTTCAAATAGTAGCTTGAAAATGTAGTTATGTGATGCCCTTAAAATTTCTCGCCTATCTTACTGTGACAGCATATATGGCCCGGCTCCTTTAAAAAATGATTGTTTAAAATTACAGCGAGTAAAAAATTCGTGTCTGCGCTTCTGTTTTGGTATAAGAAAGTTTAATCACATAAGCCATATATTCAAACAACACAACATTCTAAGTTTAGATAGATTGAGAAAATTGCATTTCCTATCACTAATCCACAAAGTTCTCGTGAACAAAAAGCCGGAATACCTTTTAGATAGAATTTCAAAGTTTGAAAATATCAATACATTGTATACTAGAAATAGGCGAATGATCGTGATACCACCCCACTCAACATCAACCTTTAAACGCAGCTTTTCATATAACGCAACAAAACTATACAATTGTCTCCCAAATGATTTTTATGACTTCTCTTTATTGAACTTTAAGAAAAAGCTAAAGAATTTGTATCTGTCTGAAGTGTGAAGGATCCTATATGCCGACTCTGTTTACGCCCACTACTTCTCTACTATTAATTGTTGATACAAAATACTTTTTCGTTACCTTCAAAAATGTATTATGATTTGCTGATAGGACGTTGGTAGCTACACCATCAACAAAAGACTTTTAATCCTACGTTTCAGTGAGAAAGTTATGGTAGTTAAATGGATGAGCTGAAACTCACTACATTTTTTTCTTTTTTTTTATGATTAGTTCCTTTTCTTAGGCACTAGGTTACAGAACAGTTATTATGACTATCATTAATACTTATGTTTATCTCTATTATTGTATGATATGTGTATGTTCATGATACAGACACGATTTTTTATTTGAGGTTGAGTTGAAAAATACCCCTAGGGTAACACTCCACCTTTTCAATTTTGCACTTTTGCGGTTTTCAAGATATCATTCTTTTGTTTTATTTTATGTATGCAAAGTTGAATAAAGGCACATTATTATTATTATATCTCAGTAGCTAGTTACCAAAACCCTGTAGTATGTCAATTTTCTTCTTTTAAATTGGTTTATCCAAATATGCCATAAAATTTGAGGCATTCTATTTGAAAAATCACAACTTTGATATATAGGTCGAAATTTCGACACCTTAGGTATATACTGGCCAATATTTTAGAAATGTGCCCTCATCGCCATCGCCTAAAATGAAGTTGTTGTCGACTAAAAGATAAATATTTTTATCAACATCTAAATCAAAATTAATTTAAGAATGAAATATAAAACATAAATCTGTTTCCTTGACAAGTCATATGAGTGCCATCAATATTATTAATAAGTTACAACTGAGTAATGTTTTATGGTTGCAGCAGTGACATAATTTCTCATCTAGTAATATCTGACTAAGCTTCTTTACTTGGCTGAGACTCTAAAGCTGTATGCCTGTATTTTAATGAATAATAGGACAAATATATATTATTTCAGGACTTTAGCCACTAGGTCTCTAAGTCATGGGTTGGACAGTCGTAAAATTGTGCAAACCGCGATTTTTGAAGTCTTGGCATATGGAAATAAGGGGACATGTAGCTTTCAAACATAGTCACTTGGAAGACTAACAAAGAAGCTTTTAAGGTTTTCCTTCCATCTCAAATTTGACATGTGTAAATGAATCGGTGAGTGAAAGAACAATTCAAGTACCAAAAATGGCAGTTTTACCTGAGACAGCCAGATTGTCTGAAACTCAAAGACTCATCATGTAGTGAAAAAATGGTACAACGACGAGCCTCGTACGCTCGGTGGCAGTCTGCTTAATTTACAGCTGAGTGCGGCGCACTCAAAGGTCATATTCAGACGCATTTACTGGCTGCTCAGTTTTTTTTTGATAAACGCTCAGACCCGACGATTTTGCTTTCGAGAGGGACACAAGTTTGGAAAAAATCACGTTAGGACGTGCAGCCCCCTAAGCGGGGGTGACACCACCCCCAAAACCTTAAATGGAAAGGGGGGCGAGTGATACCTTATTTTAAAGGTCTTTCAATTCCCTTTATAATGATATAAAATTAATGTACTTCAGTTCAGTAGTTTTAAAGATTTATTGATTTAAAACTTAAATAAAACTAATACATCATCATTAGTGGAGATCAATACATTTGGCAGCAAAGTAATCTAAAAATGAAGAATGAACTGACGAGTTAGGCAAGTAAATATTGAAAATGGCCACCATGACTCTCCATGCAAAAATAAAGATTTTGCTCAAAACGTTGCTTCACATTTTGCAATATTTGAGGAGTAATTTGGAGGCACCCAGTCACAATTCTTTGTCGCAGGTCTTCTAATGATGTTGGCTGAGTAGCATATATTTTGCTTTTTAAGTGACCCCACATAAAGGAATCCAAAGATGATAAATCTGGCGATCTTGGGGGCGATTCAATGGCACCTCTTCTACCAATCCATCGATCTGGAAACGTGTGGTCTAAATATTGTCGAACACGTAATGCGTAATATGGTGGGGCACCATCCTATTGGAACATGAACCTGTTCGCAACGTACCGCCGATCATTCTGATTTTCAATTTTGGCTGTTAATGCAGGATCTATGGCGTCTTATAGTAATTCGAAATCCATTTCACCGGTCAAATTTCCAGGTAAGAAAAAAGGACCAACTGAATGATCGCCAAAAATACCAGCCCAAACATCTAGATTTTGTGGCTGCTGTTTATGAACCTCATGATAAATTCTGAGATTAGAATCGGACCAATATCGCCAGTTATGACGATTTACTATGCCATTTAAGAAAAAGGAACATTCGTCGGAAAAGCAAGCGTTAAATAGAAAATGTTCATCGTTTATAATTCGCTCACTCATATCTTCACAAAATTGTAATCGCCGATCAAAATCGTCTTCATTAAGTTCTTGTACCAGGTGAGTTTTATACGGATGAAAACTATGGGCCTTTAGAATCCGTTGGACAGTACGTCGACTAACACCACACACAGTCTCCAATTTGCGGCTACTTAACGTATGATCTACATAATCTTGCCCTAAAACCCTCACTTCTATTGCTTCGTTCCTTATGGGATTTTCAATGTTGCGTTTTTTATTGGCGACTGACCCAGTTTCCCGAAATTTAGCTAGTTCTAGAACATATTTTCGATGCACGTTACTGTTTTCATGTCGCTCATTAAATATGTTCTATTAGCGCACTGATTATTTCCGAAAAATATTTTGATAATTTCAACTCTTGCTGCTGTGGAATATACCATGGTTAATTCATGTAATAAAGCATTGCAAGTTATTTTAGCAACAAAGTTTGGTCAAATGAATCGCAAACTATGTACTAAATTCCTATTTAAAATAAGTACGAGATATTTCCTTATCTTTCTTCAAGAAATAACTTTTTTCCACAAAAAAACGCCCCAATAGCTATTTTCAACAACAAAATGATAAACAAAACCATGAGCGTAGTGAAGAAAAGCATTTCTTCTGAAAGTAGTGCAAACTAATCTCATGTACCCATTAAAGTCTACTTTAAGCTTTAAATCAATAAATCTTCAAAACTACTTAACTGAAGCTCATGTATTTTACATCATTATAAAGGGAATTGAAATACCTTTAAAATAAGGTATCACTCTACCCCCCTATGCAATTAAGATTTTAGGGTTGGTATCACCCCCGCCCAGGGGGCTGCACGTGATAACTTGATTTTTTGACAAACTTGTGTATTCCTCGAAAACAAAATCGACGGGTCTGAGCGCTTTTCCAAAATAAAACTGAGCTGCCAGTAAATGCGTCTGTTTCGTTTTCGATGCGCCACCCTGTATATTCCTGAAGAATATGAGCGAAACTACCTTTAGAAATAACGATATCAATGATTTTAAAAATTGGTGGCCGCAATTTTATAAGAAAAAGTCCATATCAGCTGATGAACAAAAAGGTAATTTCACCATTAGTACAGCGCAGTCAGATGATATGCACTAGTGAAACTCCAGGATATGTGACGACACGTAACTTCATAGCTGGTTTTCCGCTATACACTTTCAAGTTAACCAAATATAATGCTAATACATTTACCTATAGGAAATGTATACTCAGAAGCTGTCCCCATTCACTCGAAGAAGATAGCTGGCCTGAAGAAACTTTTACGTTACTTTTCTCATGAATCCTTTGAGTTTTACTACCATATTGTCTCTTGGAAAGTAAAAACTGAAGATTCTGGATGAAGCTAACTATATAAGTTTGTTAAATGTCATTCAATAAAGTTAGAAAAGTATTTTCACACATTTTTTATTTAATTGAGTGAAAGAAGTAGTATAGGTCCAAGTCATTCTTCTTCAAATATCTTTTTTTGTGCAGTACTTTCTTTTTAAATTTATGTAGGTGTTGTTATTGGTCATCATAAGATCTAAAACTTAACAATAGGTACATGATTAGGCTAAGTAACTCATGGTTTTCCTTCAAAACAGCTTTTTTCGTTTTTCTCAAAATGGTCATTTTGGAGGCGTATTGTTCTTTAACTCAGCGATTCAAATACTGTAGTCTTGCGGTATCAAAATATTGTAAAAACATGTAATGCACACACTCTTACGGGGCTTGTCCATCTGCATATATTGTTTCTCCTGCTTGCTTTCCGGTTTTTATTTTCAGAAACCTAGCTATAACCCACTAATGATTTTAAGCGGGATGAAATGGCGTCGTATAGAGTTTTTCAGAAAGACGGAATGCAAATATGAATAATTATGAGTAATATAACAATCCTAGTAACGCCCATCATCTAGGCTATCCTACACGTTCCTTTTGATTACCTAGCTAATTCTCCAAAAAATCAGTTTCGGCAGCCCATTGTAGCACATCGCTAACAAAAACAATAAATAATATATGTTTATACACTCATTATACGTAACAAAATCAATTAACCTCATTTAATTTTCCATTCTGCCTCAGGGTCTCGCTTAAACCAGAACCGGCTGCTAGAGTTCCGATCAGCCGTACCAGCCTCCATGGGCGGCGCTTCAAGCAATGGGGCGGGGTTCGGGGGCGGAGCATCCGAAGTGCGTGTGCGCGCTGCCACGCTGTGGCTAAAGGCGGATCTGAACTGGTCAACGGGGAGGCGGCGGAAAGAAGAGACGACGACGACTAGGGATGGCTGCCGCACTACTGACATCTACGTCTTCAAAATCATATCCAATCGGCTGCCGGATTCGGTCACGCTCACATCAAGGGTAAGTTTAGCTTACGGTTATTAAGGACGAGGATCTTATTTAGAGGAAGTAAAGTTTGGCAAACGGATCTGCAACAGCGAAAGGAATGCGACCGAAAATATTCGATATTGCCAAATTTAACTACAAAAAAGCAATAATAATAATAAAAGTAATTTCAATGATTTGAAAATCGATTTTTCACAATTCCAAAAAATACTAATTCAAAATACTGAGTATTTTAATGGGTTGTTAGCTCTATTTGTATTTAATAACTATTTTTTACTACTGAATCGTATTATAAGTAAACATTTTTCCAAAGATCTTATCGACATCGGTTGAGCTGGCAACAACCACCCGAAAGGTATATTGGACACCGCCTAAACGAATCTGATTGGCGGATATCCTCACATGTTTTGTCGCCATGAGAAAATTCGACTCCCTATTGGGTAGCGTCCCAGACAATTTTTTGCTCCTTTCTTAGAATATCCATACTATTGAAAAGTCCAGTGGCGTAGGTTTTATCTCCGTTGATTGTCGTGTATGTTTTACAACTATTATTGTTAACTATTTATTGTTCTATTAAGTTTGTATGTTTAGTGCTGTGTGTTTTTGAATAGTTTAGTGTTTTGTTATTGTTATTCGTTTTAGTATTATTTTTTTAAAATGAACCAATTTACTCGCGGAAAGACGCTTCATAGCCAAACAAGAGAAGTGATTGCGAATGTTTATAGGTTAGTAATAATAATATACAATAATTGTAGTTTTTGACGACTGTGTCTGAATATAAATAAAAAACAAGGAAATGCTAAGCTTACATTCTGATGATTATTTATAGGGTTTGCGATGAGGAAGCGGCAAACAATTCCCTCAAGTTGCCGCTTAAACGTAAGCTTGATAGGGTGTCCCTTTATACCCGAGTCGGAGTATCTTCTGTTAGGAAAATTCATAACGAAGATAAAGAAAGACTAGAAAATAACCCGAATAAAATGTTATCCAGTCCCGGAAAAAAAGACCGCGTCAGTCTCTTGTTGAGAAAGATGAAGATTTTGATTTTCAGATTATTAGACATTTGATAAACAGATTTTATCTTGAATATAAAGATATCCCGACAACTAGGGAATTATTACAAAAGTTGCGAGAAGACTCAAATTTCCCCTATTCTAGGGAAGCACTCAGGAGTTTATTAAAATCAAATGTTTTTTTTTTTGGCGCAAATGTCAAAATAAAAGAAAAGTTTTGATGGAGAGGCCTAATATATTGCAATGGAGGTACAAATACGTCCGTGAAGTACGTAGATATCGTGAAGAAGGGCGCAATATTGTTTATTTGGACGAAACCTGGGTGGACAATGACTTGACTTTCAAAAAATGCTGGCAGAGCGAAACTGTTTCTGGTGTAATATGCAGTATAGGTTCTACAGGTAAGCAAAAATGCTATATATATGTTAAATTTAACTCTGATTTGTAACATATTATATAATCGTCTTGTATATTTTAGGTCGACTCATTATAGTGCATGCAGGTTCAGAAAATGGATTTGTTGACAATGCCTGTTTGATATTTAAGGCGGGATTAGCTACAGTCGATTACCACCGAATATACCTGCTAATTCGGTTATAGTATTTGACAATGCTCCATATCATTCCGTCCAGGAAGATAAAACCCCGACAAAATCATCTTCGAAAAAAGATATAATGGCCTGGTTGACAAGGAAAGGTACGTATGACTCAAAACATGCAGGTACATATCAAACTATACAATAAAATATTTTATAGGCATAAATCATGAGGCAACTGCCAAAAAATTTGACTTGTTCGATCTGGTCTTACTTCATAAGCCCCCTGACAACCAAAAAAATTATGTAGTTGATCGGATCATAAGATCACATGGACATACTCCTCTAAGAACACCTCCTTATTTATGCGAGCTAAACCCAATAGAATTAGCTTGGGCAAAGCTTAAATTTCATATAAGAAGCCGCAATACCACTGGAAACTTCAGAAGTTACTCAGGAAGCGATGTCCTTAATATCCATTAATGATTGGCAGAAATTTTATCAACATGCTAGGGACATTGAAGATAAATTTTGGGAAAATGATCAATTTATGGAGGAAATGGAACGAGTTATAATAACTATAGGGCAAGATGACGACAGCGAAACTGATGACGACAGTGACGATGATGATAATGATGAAGTTGACGAACACCAATGCTAATTCAATAGGTGAAATGTAATTTTGAAATGCTGTATAATGTAAGTATTATTTATTACAGAGATTAAGATTAAGTTAAACGGATATGAAATATGTTTAAAGTTCTTTGTTTCTACTTAAGCGACACCGATGCTCTAGAAATATCCACATCAACAGTAGAAAATTGCAACAATAGGAATCCAGAAAGATGCGGATTATAAAATAAAAATTAATTCTGGTCATGTTTCGGATGGTGGCACTTTTTAAAGTAAATGAGCATATTATAAGATCACGGATGTATAATATATATATATATATATATATATATATATATATATATATATATATATATATATATATATTCTCAAGGTAAAAAACCACGTTAAGTATCTATTTGTATTATTATTTGTATTTACGGCTTTGACAAAAACGCTAGCTTGATTTAGGTTTTAAATCGCGCAGTTATCATGATTTTTTGAATTGTGGCAATTTTGGGAAATGAGTAGACATTTTTCCGTTTGTTGAAGTGTAGAAACAAACTCAAGTGTTTTTTTACATGGTGTAGATTGTAGAGAACAGCTATTTTTGAGTTTACCCGAGACTTTATTTATTATTATGGACAATGCTCCATATCATTGTGGGCTTATTGAGATACTCCCCAAATTTAAAGTGAAATATAAACGTATAGTTTACTAAATTTAAACCAATTATGAAATAATCCCAAACTTTTATAAAATACCGCACGCCGCTGGCATTTTATGAATGAAACCAGCCATGTTTTGCTTTCCCCTCACCGATACCCCGATGTTGCAGATCCGTTTGCCAAACTATAGTTAGTTCTTCCTCCTCGTAGATTTTTTATAAATCTTTGTTGTCCATAGGCACGATCCATTTCAGTATCACTTTACAATAATAATTATAAAACATCTGGCAGAATGAGCAAGCTCACAACGCTTAAGCAGAACTTACAGTGTCGCCGGTCAATATGCTACACTGGTCATTTTGTTTGATTTCCCTACGGACATTTAAGAATTATCCTTGAGGAGAGATAATTATCGCTGGAAAGTCAATCTTGGCAATAAATAAATTCTGTAGGTAGCACTGGCTGTTGTTTACGGGTAAAAGGTAGATATCACACATATGATCCGACAGAGAACAACTCGTACGTTTCAATGGCTGTAACTCTGATACCAGATCCGTACTGGGACCACTGCTGTTTTTATTATCTATACATTAACGGTATCCATAATAGCCTGTCAGATGCGCACAATTCTGCTTTGTTTTTATATGCTGATGACACTATTTTGGTAAATTCTCATAAATATGTAAATACCCTTACGCAGTCATGAGTTGGAATCTGCTCAATCAGTGAAATTGCTAGGAGTACATATTGACATGGGAGGTGCATACTCGTTGTGTGGTGGATAGTTTGTCCAGAATTATATATCTCATACGTAGTCTTAAGGAAAAAGTATCTGATAAAGTATTATTAACTGCTTATCACGCATATTTCCACTCTGAAACGACATATGCAATTTTGGTCTGGGGACTCTCTCCACAAGGCGTTGTATCCGATACATCTCTGGTTTGAAATATAAAGACCCCTGCAATATGTCAAAAATTACATTATTAGTACCTTCCCCACTCATAGTAACCACAATTCTGAAACACGAAATATAAACAACATTTGTCTCAATAACTACCGTCTTGAAAAATCAAGAGTTGGAACAAACTTGTATGGCATGATTTTTTTTAATCTGCTACCCAACAATATAAAATCATTGGATATTGGAGTTTTTCACAGGAAACTCAAGTATTATATAATAAAGAACGCATTCTTTAATACGGACGTATATTTGGCAAATTACTCCACTGATATACCTTAAATGTTTATTTATTTATTTCTCTGTCCAACTTGTGTATATTTGTTTTTGTTTGCTTATACGGAGTGTCCCAAAAGTCATAGATTAAACGGAAGGCGTTGAAAGGGAGGCTCATTTCCAACCAGAAAAAGAATGTATGTCCCTATTCAATTGTGCGCGATATCTGAGTTATAGTCATTTCTAAGAATTTGTGGCAAAACGCTGCATTTGAAACTTTAACCTTTTTTCTGAAATTGTATTTTGTTATTTCTCATTCAACTTTACAAGGTATGTTCCCCAATAACGTATCGTTGGTAAAAAGCTATTAGTGAAGAATTAGTCTGGTTAATGTAGGTATAGCAATCAGCTCAACCCCCATTTTGTTTGTTGTCAAAAATGTTACTGTTTTGTAGTTTTGCTGCTGATGAACGGTGGCTTATGAAGGAAACACCCGCTCAAAGGAATGCGTGTTTATTCTCGAAGATTGTACAAGTGACGTCTCTGTTATTAATTCCAATGGCGTCATATCAGCCTGGCTGTCTAGTCGCGCATGCGCTTGATGCGGAAACAAGTATTAATACACACATGGAGGAAAGTTTTGAGGCGTAAACATACCCCCGACCTTGAAAAATGGTCAACTTTCAACATACGTAAAGGAAATACATTTCACAATAATGTCTGAATAATGATAATAATGTCCAATCGTGAAATAAATATAAAGGTTAAAAGTTACATAGCAGTTTATACATCACCAACTTCACAATCGGCTCTCTGCACTGGTTCAGTTTCTATTGGCAACACACAAAGTTTCGTAACTGCACGCTTCACTGCACCAGAAGATGTCTGCACAGTAGCAACTCGAATCTTGCCGTCTGCTCCGGGATGAAAGGTAGAAACCCTACCAAGTTACTACACTACTAGTGAACCAAGTTGAAGATGGTCTTGATGTGTTCTTCATTTGGGACGTT